ACCTGTGGGACCTGTAGGACTTACGGACCTGCGAGACCTTTGACACCTGTCGGACATGTGGGACCTCTGGGACCTGAGGGTGTTGGACCTGCGAGACCTGTGGGACATGAGGGACCTGTGGGACCCAGGGAACCTGCGCGTCCTGTGGGATCTGTTGTACGTTGGGGACGTGCGGGACCTGTGAAGCCTCTGAAACCTGCGAGATCTTTTGGGCCTGTGAAACGTGAGGGACTTGCAGAGGCCTCTATGGGAGACTTTTTGGGGTCTCCTTGGGGGCCCAAGATCATTGAAGCATTTCTGGGGCTTCCCTGGGGCGTCTTTTTAAGACGCATTGGGGGCGTTGGGGGCCTCTTGAGGGCCTCTGGGGGGATCTTGGGGGCCCCTGCAAGAGCTCGCGGAATCGAACATCACAATTTCTTACCGATGGGAACGCCCAAAACCGAATGTATGGAGAAGGGGGGGGGGTCACCCGGGATCTTCCGCTACAATTGGGGGGGGGATCGCAACGAAGCGGAGACCCTCCCACCGGGAAAACGGATTTCGTGCTCGTGTCGTGCTTGCGGGCGAAGCGAAGCTGATTGGGAGGGCAAGAAGAATCACACGCCGTTGCCAGAGCAAAGCAAAGCCAAACGTTGCTGTGCCCCAGGTTGGCTGGCTATGGCCCTGTGGTGTCCTGATGGTGTCCCGATGGTGTCCTGGTGTCCCGTGGTTTCCCGGCGCGCGGGGGTGTCCAGTGATGTGCCATATGCTATGCTAGCGGTCGTGAGATCGATGCTGAAATCGATAGTGAGACTCATTGAAGAAGACCGATCGTGAAATCGAGAATGGTAATGAGGTCGATTGAGATAGATCGTGAGATCGATAAAAAAATCGAATACGAGATCGGTAACGAGATCGATCAGATCGACAGTCGTGTCGAATGAATGAGATCGGCCGACAAACCCAGGAACCTGGGCTCCAGAAACTGGAACTCCAAGAACCTCGCCGCCCACCGAGGTCGGTGCAAAACCGCAACCTGCGTATCGTTTAACCGATCCCCATCCCCAGCGGCGTGGCCTGGGCACCACTGGCCGATTTACCCCCCTAGGTGGTGATATGAGTCGTTCCCTTCGGGTTTCAAGGGGTGCATCCCCAACTGGGGTGGTAATCTGTAATCTGGTGGGGGGTCTCGAAGGGGATGGGGATGGGGATGGGGATCGGTCAGACGATACCGACGCAACCGGGACCCGGGAACCCAGAAACGGAAGCTCGGGAGCGGGAACCTGGGTTTGGACGCACGAATTGGGTACCGAAAGAATGGGTACAATGCCCAACAATAAATGTTGTCCCAAACCAACAGCAGCCGCTGTTTGGCAGGCGGCCTACTGTCTCGCATGGACACAGGCCGCGGCGGCGCGGACAGGGAGTCCTGTTCAAAATGAACAGGAACTGCTGTTGGGCATTGTACCCATTCTTTCGGTACCCATGTCGGGCGTCCAGACTGGGCACGCGGCCGCCCACCGAACCCAGAAAATGGGCACCCGGCCGCCCACCGAAATATTGGCCACCAACAATGGCCGAAGCTTCGAGTCTCCGCGAGGAGCACCCTACCACGCAAGCTCTGCTTGGGGAAAAAAGCCTCGAGGGATGGCTCCTTGGGGGAAGGCCTCCCAACCCCCCAATCCCCCCAACAAAGCGGGAAGGTTCCTGGGAGGAAGACCTCCCAACCCCCCTAATCCCCTCCAACAGAAAACCTCCGAGGGAGAGTTCTGGGGGACCCTCCACCCCCCGAAACTCCCAGGGAGAATTCTGGGGGACCCTCCACCTCCCGAACCTAGCCAAAAACCGTTGTGAAGCGGGGTTCCGGGAGGGAAGACTCGCAACCCACCCCAAACCCCTCCCTGAGGGTTCCGAAGGCAAAGCCTTCCAAGCCCCCCCTGGACGGGTTAGGAGGGAAAACCCTTCCTAACCATTCCAAGCCCCCTACCCCGGAGTGAAGGTTCTGATGGGGAAACCTGCAACCCGTTCAATTGCCCTGGGGGAGGCTCCCAAACCCTTATGTACATCCCCTCAAAAACAACCCCTGGGGGAGGGTTCCGGAAAGAAAAACTCTCCCTGACTCTCGAGACCCCCCCCCTAAGAAAGGGTACCGAGGGGGCGCCTCCCCTGAGAGAGGGTTCTGGTCCGAGAGGGAAAACCCTCCAACCCCCCCTCCTCCCCCTCCAAAAATATCCTGGCGAAGGACCCAGTCATGTGCAGTTGTGGGTGCCGCAATTGCGAATATCTTCTTCGGTGAAGCTCCCTATGGGGCCACCACTGGGTGGGGGGGGGGGGGAAGAACGCATGCGGGCGTTAGCACTGAGGCCGTCGGTGGAGCTCCCGATGGGGCCACGAAACAATGTACTGGTTGGGTGTAAATGCCAAAATTGCGTGTGCGGGACGCACGCGGGGGGTCCCACTGGGGGCTTCGGTGGAGCCCCCTTATGGGGCCACGAAACGCTGTAATGGGTAAGCGAAAATGCAAAATGGGGTGTGCGGGACGCACGCGGACGGTCCCAGTGGGGGCTTCGGTGGAGCTCCCCATGGGGCCACGAAGCGCTGTACCGTGTGGGTGAAACTGTCAAATTGGGTGTGTGGGCGGTCGCACTGGGGGCTTCGGTGAAGCTTCCTATGGGGCCACGAAGCGCTGTACTGGGTGGGTGAAAACGTCAAGTTGCGTGTGCGGGACGCATGCGGGCGGTCCCACTGGGGGCTTCGGTCGAGCTCCCTATGGGGCCACGCAGCGCTGTACTGGGCGAATGAAAATGCCAAATTGGGTGTGCGGAAGAACGCATGCGGACGGTCCCACTGACCACGAAACGGTGTTCTGGGTGTGGCGGACGCATGTGGCCACCCCCACTGGAGCCTCCGATGGAGCTCCCCATGGGGCCACGAAGCGCTGTACTCAGTGTGTCGGACGCATGTGGCCACCCCCACTGGGGCCTTGGGTGGAGCTCCTCATGGGCCGCGAAACGCCGTTCTGGGTGTGGCGGTCGCATGTGGCCACCCCCACTGCGGCTTTGGGTGGAGCTCCCTATGGGGCCACGAAGCGGTGTACTGTGTGTGGCGGACGAATGTGGCCACTCCCACTGGGGCCTTGGGTGGAGCTCCTTATGGCTCCACGAAGCGCTGTACTGGGTGTGGCGGAAACATGTGGCCACCCCCACTGGAGCCTTAGCTGGAACTCCCTATGGGGCCACGAAGCGCCCATCTGGGTGTGGCGGACGCATGTGGCCACCCCGGAGCTCCCTATGGGGCCGCGAAGTGCCGCACTGGGTGTGACGGACGCATGTGGCCACCCCCACTGGGGCCTTGGGTGGAGCTCCCTATGGGGCCGCGAAACGCTGTACTGGGTGTGGCGGACGCATGTACTGGGTGTGGCGGACGCATGTGGCCACCCCCCCTGGGAGGGGGGGCAGCGGGAGGAGGAGGAGGAGGAGGAGACGCGGGGACCGTCTCTTCAAAACGAGGACCCAACACAACAGAATGGTTGGGAACAAAATGAACTATGAGGGGGAGTTCCCGGGGGGAAAGTCCCTCACCCTCCCTAGCCAGCCAAAACAATCACCATCAGGGAACGTTTGGGGGACCCCTCCCTAACCCCACCAAACAATACAAAAACACCCCCGAAGTTGGGTTCCAGAGGAAAACCCCCCCCCTTTCACAGCCTCACAAACCACTCCTGAAGGAGGGTTCTGGGGAGGAGCACCTCCCACCAACCCATAACTCCCCCCCCCCCTCTGAGGGAGGTTTCCTAAGAACCCTCGAACCCCTTTTATCCTGTCTTTTTTCATTAAAACAAAAACAATGTGGGAGGTTGCGGCGACCCCCCCCCCAAGCACACCCAAAAGCACACGTGAGGGAGGCTTCTGGAGGGGTCCCCCCTCCCCTAACTCCCCCACCCACCCCACAGGCCCTGAGGGGGGTTCGGGGGGGTCCCTCCCTCACACACCCCCAACCCCTCCAAGAAAAAAACGCCCTTGAGAAAGAGCTCTGGAAGGAAAACCTTCATCCCCCCCCTGAGGGGGGGTCAACGGGGGGTTTACCAGGGGGGGTTCTGGGAACTGCCACGCCTTACTGTGCGCCTCACTCGGATCGCCTTCAAGAGAGCTATATATATGTATATGTATATATATATATATGCCCGGGTGGCAACATCACCCTCAAAGCAACGCATGGGACCACGAACGGAACTCGGCGTGGACACAACAAATGCTCCTGAAGAAGCCGGCCATGAACCCCGGGACCAACCCAAGGACCTCTCAGTCTTCATATCGGGCATGCCCTGTTGACAGGGCCGAGGCCCGGGAACGGCCCCAGAAAGGCCGAGAGCGGCCGAACACCTCCAGGACCCGCTCCCTCCCGGATGTGTTCTCCAGCTGGAGCATCAAAGTGCAGAACCCCAAGCCCTGGATTTAAGTCGGGCCTGTCCCCCTACAGGGGGATTTTCGACGAACAAATCAAGAATGCCCCCCAATTTTTTTTGATAGCCCAAAAATAATCCAGGGACTATTTGTTTGAGTATGTGTTTGACCTTTTGGGTGTATTGTTGGGGTATTAATTTTTTGTAGAACATCCCCCTGTAGGATGGACAGACCCCCCTTTAGTAAAACGTGGTTTCGTGAAAACGACCTGAAGCCCGAACCTGGCGGGCGCAAGCCTGGAAAATGACGGCCACGGCGCCCTCTCGAGAACCGAAAACGGATAATTCACTACTCCAGATTTCGTAGTAAAGAAAGGGGGGTCTCATTTCGGGGGGGGGTCTCTTCCAGGCTATCTTGGAGGGCCTGCGGGGTCAGGGGACGATGTTTTGGAGGGTTCTCCCACGGGGGAGGTCTGAAATGGCTTGTCTTGGAGGGTCCAGACCCCCTCTCTTTTATTACGAAATCTGGACTAATCGACGTGTCACTGTTGGGGGTTCTGTCCAACCCCGAATCAAAGTGCAGAATCCCAAGCCCTGGATCGGCAAGCCCCCGCAGCTCCTGCCGCGACGGCGAGGGCCACCAGTGCGGCCAGCACGCCTCGCGCGGCCTGGCGGGGGGGGGGGCGCAACAAAAACACAGGAGCAGAGCGGGAGGACGCGCGCCAATCTCATGGGGTCGGGCATGTCCCCCCCACAGGGGGATTTCGGGCGACAACCCACAAATACTCCGAGAACGCTCAAAACAGCAGAAAGATCGTCCCTGGAGTCTGTTGTCACTATGTTTTCGAGTATTCCTCCTGTACAAGGACAGGCCCGCCTCACTCTTCTCACGAGGCAAGTGCACGCAGGGTCAGACAGCACTTGCAGTCGGTCGTGCCCTCTCTCGCCCAGGTCCCCCCTCAGCCCCGTACCCTGGGAAAGATGCAGGCGAGAGGGAGGCGATCGAAGAGCACTTCGAGGCGCAGCCCTGTGTTGCCTGGGGGCGCGGCAAGCAGCCATAACGTCCTTCTTCGAGTTCTATCAGAAAGGAACTGCCCACGACTGGTAACAATCGTAGTCGCAGTCGAAATCGTTAAGACGTTCGCTTCAACCTGGTAGTGAAACCAACAGCAGCCCGATGCACAATGGTACGCCGGCGAATTTGAAAGAACGGCCGAAGATGGGGACGGTGAACAAGGGAGGAAACACGGCGAGGAAGGGGAGGAGAAAGGGATGGACAGGGAGAGACAACGGAGCAAGAGGGGCAGTGAATGAGGAAGTGACTGAATGAGGCCGATGGTCGTACGGAGGAATCGGATGATGAGAACCAGGACACAGGATCATAATGAACGTTCACCTGGGCAGAACGACTCCGGAGATTTCGTCGTGCTGTCCCAGTGCCGACAGGCGAGAGCGTGCGGCACACGGCAACGGGCCCTCTTGTGAAACAATGGAAGGACCGCTCTTGTGAGAGCAAGTGGTGTGCTTAGCAATGTACTAGCTACGCGATTCCACGCCACTCAGCAACACATGAGCTGTCCGCCAGAAGCGCGGCCTCGCGAGCCTGAATACGTAGGAGGACGCGTTCCGTGCCTCCACTGCGGCAAAGAGCGTTATGTCAGCAGGAACGTCACTGCGCGCAGTCAGGGGCGGCCAAAGAGTACGTAGCACTTGAATGTGAAGGCCACAGGGAGCGGAAGACAAGCGAGTAAGCGTTCGAAACGCCAATCCTGATACGTGTGAAGATGTGCATGTTCCCGTGCCCGCTTGGCCCAGGCGCTCGAGGTCCTAGCATATTCACTCGATTAAGACCTCACTCGAACGTGACACCAAAGTATGGCTGCCGCCTGTGACCGCTGAGCGTCTTTCATGTGGCAATGCGAATAATATGGTGGACTTCGTCGGTTTATTGCGTTGTATCAATTTGGCGGCGCGCAGAGGGGGTAGGGGGAGAGGGGAAGACTCCTTAGAAGGAGGCTGCTTCTTAGAAGGCGCCGACCTGACATTTACAGACAAGGCCAGCAACTTCTAAGAAGCAGGGGTGCTTCTAAGAAGCCTTCCCCCCTCCCCTTACCCCCCTCCGCGCGTGGCCGATCTATGCCGTCGCGTGGGCCCCAGCTGTGTAGGGAGTTTCGCATGTCGTCGCACAATCTTGGCGTCCGACGCCAAGCATCCACCATTGTTGCTTGCTTAGCACCAGTTCGCCAGTCCTTGCGTCCACCAGCCTCACAAATGCTGGATGGAATGGGCAATGCGCGGCGAGACCATAAAACTGCACAGCCGCACTGCGTTTGGACAGCCGTGCCGCTGCCATCATCATACTTACTAGAACCACGCGCGCTTCCCGCGCGCTGATGTTCCAGCCGGTCACAGGCCGTCGGGTGCTGATCATCGTGGGGTCCCATGATTTGTCCTGTCAAGCCATTTTTCCGGCAAGCAACAGGAGGGTGACACAACCACCTGCCGCACCTGGCTGGCGAACATCCTGCCCCCCCCAAAAAACCCGCTAAAAGCATAGCGAAACGGAACATCGCCCCCGGAGCGAGGCCGGGTCCATCGCCCGAAACCGCGCGCGCGGAAAATTACACACAGCATAATACCCTTGCTCCAAGATCGGCGGTGGACAAACTTCCCTTCAGTAAACCTCCTTTCAGTGAAAACGGCCTAGGGCCGAAACCGACGGACCTGGAGCCGCAAAAACGACGGCTGCGACGCCCTCTCGCGAACCGAAAACGTCCCATTCGATAGTCGACGTGTCAGGGTAGGAGGTCTATCAACCTCCGACAAGACGAGAGGCCGGCAGCCTGGGAGTTTTGGCCGAGAGGTCCGCCGCGGGGGCCACGTCTCGAACCAGTCCGAGGGCTCCCAACTTCGCGCTCCGCACTGCGCGAAGCGCGAAGCGCGACTGACTTCGCGCTCACGCGCCGCCTCCTGGGGGGGGAAGAGGAGGCTGAGGAATCGGAGCCAAACCGCGAAGCGCGAACATTTTCGCGCCCTCGAGGGCGCCCTTGCGCTCGCGCCGAGCAATCTCTCTGTGCGGGCAGGCCGCGCGGAGGCACCGCGGAGACTCCCGGGCGGCGTCTCTCCGGCGCCGCGAGGCGCCGCCCCCCCCCCCGGGCGCTCCGCGAGCCAGAGCAGGGTCTCGGCGCCCTGCCCATACACGGAGAGGGGGAGGGACCCTGACCTTCCAGGAGGGCTAGAAAATAACACCAGGACCTTGACGTCCAAAATACGAAATCCTGTCGAGGTTTTTGTTTGAGCAATCCCTCTGGATCTATAGGCCTGGAGAGCTATTTTCTAGCACTCCGGAAGGTCAGGGGAAGAGGCCCCGCCGCAGAAGCCGGGAGGAGGGGGCTGAGGAGGAAGAAGAGGGAAGGGCGCCCGCCGCCGAAGGCAGGAGGGAGGCCAGGGAGGTGGGAGGAAGAGTGCCCGCTGCCCAAAGCAGTCGGGCGGCAAGGAAGGTAAAGCAACTGCTGCAAAAGACAGGGGGGCTACAATGAAGGGAAGGCACCTGGTGCAGAAAACAGACGTGGAGACACCTACTACTACTACTACTACTACTACTACTACTACTACTACTACTACTACGACGACGACGACGACGACGACGACGACGACGACGACGACGACGACGACGACGACGACGACGACGACGACGACGACGACGACTACTACTACCACTACTACTACTACTACTACTACTACTACTACTACTACTACTACTACTACTACCACAGCCGGGTCATTTCGACGGCCCTGTTGTTGCATCGTTACCCCCTGTCCATACACAAGGGTTAAAGGTCCCATTCCCGCGCGCGCGGCAGAGAAGGCTCAACAAGATCCTTGAGGGCCGCCACCCCACTGTCCCGGGTGCTATGCTCTAGCACTGTGCGCGCTCCGCAATGCAGAGCGAGGGGTAGACGCAGCTTGGCCGCCGAACAGTGCACGTGACAGAAAAAAAGGTTTAGGGCCCCGTTTGCATCATAAGAAACACACGCATTCGCACGGGCGACATCATGACCCCATGGCTGTCATGAGCCACGCCTGCACGCGTGCGGGTAGGGCCCGGGAAAGGAACGACGGGGAGCGAAAAGGGCACATAGTACCGTTGTCTCCTACACAGCGAAGGTGACCTTCACACGATGGATGCCAAACATGCGTGTTGCAACATGTGGACCGTGTATGTGATGCATCTCATTTAAGGAACTGGAAACAGTCAACTCAGATTCAATCCGTGGTCTTTGGGTACCTTCTTGGGAATGTCTTGCAGCCTCCTAGAGCCACAAGCCCTCGCGACTCCTGGGGCCGCGTCAGCATCGAAAGTTTCATTGCTGCGCGGGCAGCGACTGATGAAGTGATCAACTGATTCCCAACCCTCCTGCGATCGCAACCTTCCTTCCTTCCTGCCTCCCTGCTCATCTCTTCCCCCCCTCTTACCAGCCAGCTACCCTGCCTCCTACCTGGCCGTGTGCCATGCCTCATACTTGCCTGCTACCCTGTCTCCTCGCAATCCCTGGGGGGCTGCGACTTGCGAAACTGTCGCCACTTTCGAGGGCTGCTGGGGGGTCCAGCAGAGCGACGTCCCACGCGGACCTAAATTAGATCTCGCCATCCCTGGAGGGCTGCGATTAGCGAAACTGTCGCCACTTTCGAAGGCTGCTATCCCCCAAGAGGCCCCCCAAAGGCCCCCATGAAGCCCGACGAGGCCCCCAAGAGGTCCCCAAGAGGTTTTTTGGAGGTTCCCAAGAAGCCCCAAAACCACTCCCGAAAGGCCTCGGAGAGCGCCCCCAAGCCACCCGCAACCCAGGCCTGGCGGCGGGGTAGGCCAATGGTCATCTGATTAGATACGATCTCGCTCGCACTCACTGTGTCAATCGGAGTATATACGTACGTGTACGTAGGTGTATACAACATGTGATTGTGATGCTGGCATCCAAATCAGTTTATCTACGGCGTGACACTCTCCATCTCCATTCGGTGTCTCTCTCTCTCTCTCGCGCTCTCTGTAATTATATATGTACTCGTTTATGTGTCTATCTGTCTACATATATATATATATATATATATATATATACACCTATACAACTGTATATATTCAACACTTTACGCCGTCAGCCCGCAATGCGACCATATCACAACTATGGCGACGTATATAGACACATATACATATGACATGAACATGCACATATACATATTTATATACACAATTAATCAACGCACTCTGCTCAGGTATCTCTCAACGTTGCTCTCTACGATCTGATGTGCACTCTTCACTCTTCACTTTCTGCTATATCACATCGAGCCGGAGGGGTCGAAATGACTAGACCCCCGACGTCATGATTTTGTTCACAACATCGACCCCCAGAGGTCTGAACCCCTTTCCCAGAACCGTTTTTTCCTCCGGAGCCGTTTTTTTGACGGACCCATGGCCCATTAAGGGCTCACGGGGGCCGAAAATTAAGACAAACCTCCTGTCAAGTTGTTTCATAACGCGACGGGGTCTGGGCCCCGCGCGAGCGCCGCGCTCGCCTCCGTGCCGGAACCCGAGGCCGCACCGCCGCCCGCTGTCCTCCTTCTCCTCGTCTCCGTCCTCGTCCTCGTCGTCGTCCGCCTCCTCCTCCTCCTCCTCTTCCTGCTCCTGCTCCTGCTCCTGCTCCTGCTCCTCCTCTTCCTGCTCCTGCTCCTGCTCCTGCTCCTGCTCCTCCTCCTCCTCCTCCCTTCTCCTCCTCCTCCTCCTCCTCCTCCTCCTCCCTCCTCCTCCTCCTCCCTTCTCCTCCTTCTCCTCCTCCTCCTCCTCCTCGTCCAACTCGTCCTCCCTCCTCGTCCTCCTCCTCCCTCCTCCTCGTCCTCCTCGTCCTCCTCGTCCTCCTCGTCCTCCTCGTCCTCCTCGTCCTCCTCCTCCTCCTCCTCGTCCTCCTCGTCCTCCTCCTCCTCCTCCTCCTCCTTCTCCTCCTCCTCCTCCTCCCCTCCCGCGCGCCGAGCTCGCCTCCGCGCCCGGACCCGAGGGCGCGCCGCAGCCTGGCCGCCCGCAGGCGCCGGCGTCCTGCGGCGGCCGCGGGCGTCGGCGGTGGAAGCGGCCGCGGCCGCGCCATCGGCACAGACCTGTCGGGTCGTGCGAAAGGGGGGGATAGCAAAGGGGGGGTTTGAGAATCAGCTCACGTAGCTGATTTTCCCGGCGCCTCCCGGCGCCGGAGGCGGCCATGTATCGAGGAATGGGCCCCTCGGTGAGGCCGAAACCAGCTGCATGCAGCAAATTCCGTAACCCCCCCCTTTCCCAATCCCCCCCTTTCGCCCGGCCCGAACCTGTGGCGCTGCGCGCGGATGTCTTGGATCCGCGCCCGACGCCCCCTCCCTTGACTGCCTACCAGACCACCCCAACCCAACCCGGAGACCCGAATCTCGGGTTGGGGAGGGGGTGCGGGTTCCACGCGTGTTCTCTCGAGGTTCCCCGACCCCCCCGCCCACTGGAACTGGAGGGCAGATTGAGGCCTCCGGGTTGGGTTGGGGTGGTTTGGTGGGTGGTGATCCCTGGCGCGCGGGGCGGCGGCGAGCGCCAGGGGGTGACGCGGACGTCGGCTGCGGCGGAGGGCTGCCGTTCTGGGGGGCCCTCGAGAGGCCGCGGGGGCGCGGCGCCTTCGAGACGGTTTGCCCCCGGCCGCCATGCCCCCCCTTTCCACGGGCTTCTGCCGCCGGGGCTGCACGGAGCACTCTGTTGACGCGGTGCGATCAGGGCGCGGCGTGGTGTGAGTGCCATTTATCTTTGTGGGGTCGCTCCAACAAAAAAGAGGGGGTCCCACTCCACCGCTCGCGGAAGGTGGCGCAGTCGTGGTCGTCGTCGCAGTCGGAGGCGCAGTCGCAGTCGTATAGTTGTGGCTGTCGTCGTCGTGGTTGCGCGGCGGGTGCCGCGGGCAAGAAGAATCAATCACCCTGTATTGGTGGGATCCCAGTCGGTGAGTAAGGCCGCCGAAAAAATAACCGCGACCCCCAGATAAGAAAGGATACCCCCCCCTCCCCAAACAGTTTCTTATCCCCGGCCAGTACAGATTTGGCGGCAAGGCCGAACTTTGCAATCGCGGGGGACAGTTGCGAATGGGTGTTGCTATCTTGTTATGTTGACTAGCAACATCATCAAAAACGTGTGGCATGGCAATGGACGTCTCACCATTTTCAGCTTTCCAAAATCACGAACGTGTGGCAGGGCTATGGGATTCTCACTTTATCAGCCCTTCCCGAGTCTCCCCACCTCAGCTGTCCCAAGTCACGAACGTGTAGCAGGGATATGGGAGTCTCACTTTCTCACCCCTCCCCGAGACAGGAACGTGTGCCAGGGCCAAAATGTTCTCACCAATCCAGCTTTCCCAAGTCACGAACGTGTGGTAGGGCCTTGGGATTATCACCATCTCAGCCCGCCCCGAGTCACGAACGTGTTGCAGGGACATCATATTCTCATCAGTTCAGCTTCCTGCAGTCACGAACGTGTGGCAGGGCCATGGGGTTCTCACCATTTCAACGTGTGGCAGGGCTTTAGGTGCCAGATCTCGAGGGGCGCCACAGACCATCAGAGCGAGGATCTAGAGGAGCGCGCAAGATCATCATCCTAATCAACATCATCACCATAAGCATCATCATCATCATCATCATCATCATCATCATCATCACCACCACCACGATCATCACCATCATCATCATCACCATTATCATTATCATCATCATCATCATCATCATCATCATCATCATCATCATCATCACCATCACCATCACCACCATCATCATCACCATCACCATCACCATCATCATCATCATCATCATCATCATCATCATCATCAGCAGCAGCATCATCATCAGCATCATCGTATTCATCTTCATCATCATCAGCATCATCATCATCATCATCATGATCATCAATATCAACATCATCAGCAGCATCATCAGCATCACCAACATCATCAACAGCATCGTCCTCTGGCCTGCTGGGAACACGCATATCGTCCCCCTGGAACCTGGACTTTATCCCCAGGGGGTGAATACCAGGGGCAATGAATTAATTAGTTACCCCCGATTGGGGGGATCGAACAACTGGTCACAAATACCCATACCGCTACTGCCTGGTCTCCCGGGGTGCGCTCTGACCAGGAAGTTTGAAGCGAATCCAATTGTGGTGGCGAGAGGTTTCCAAGACGGGCAGGGTGGTGAGCAGCAGAAGGACCCCTGACCCGTTTGGAGGGGACCTAAGTTAGGAGGGCCAACAACATTAAGGATAAAGGGTCTGCTCTGCAACTGTATCTAGCCAGACCGCCGCCCAGATCCGTGATCCCCGATGCTGAGACGGGGATCTCAGCGAGGCTACGCCGTCCTCGTGCTATTCATGGTTAGGGGCCTTTTGGCCTGCATGACAAGGATGTATCTTCTATCTTTCCCTCCGTTGAGCAAGGGTGTGCGTTTTTTGTATTCGGCGTTTCAACGTTGAGCGGAAAGGGGGGGAGGGCGGGCTCTGGCTCCAGACTTCTGCTTAGTGCGACTGTGCGCAAGAGTGCTGCCTCTGGGGGAGAGAGACTCCACCCGCTCGAAACAGGCGCCCCCCCAAACACCCCAGATCTCGGGGGGGGGGTCCCGCGCCGATCGGCAAAGCAGCCAAGAAAAAGCGATCACCCAAGCGCCGACGGCGGCGGCGTCGTCCTCCCGCAGCGAAGGACGCACCGCCCGGGCCGCCCGCAGCGCCGCCCCGGGCGGGGCAGTGAAGGCGGCGCCGCGGGCGAAGCAGGCCACCGCGGCACCCAGGAGGGCGAGGGCTGCCTCGGTGGGCCGCCCGCTCGCTGCGGGCGAGCACCCGAGGAGGGGGAGGAGGAGGAGGAGGAGGAGGAGGAGGAGGAGGAGGAGGAGGAGGAGGAGGAGGAGCAGGAGGGAGGAAGGTTCTCGCTGAGCAGTGCTTTCCGTGCTCGCTTTGTTGTCGGTGTCTCCCTCGTCTCGTCGTCGTTCCGACTCTGCTGCGAAGCGAAATGGTCACGAGCACGGTCCACGACATCGCCCAAACAACTGTGTGGCTCGACCCCTGGTGTGCGCCGACGGTGCTCGACGATATCTCTCCCCTCTGCGAGGCCCCCCCGGTCCGATCTGCACATGTTCGTGAAAATTTGCCTTCGCCGTCTTGCACCCCACGCAGGTTAGTAACCCCACTCAGACACCGCGGGCGCTGCGACAATGAGCGTCATTGCCGTCGTGCGCCACCACCGAGGCCCATACGTCGCAGGCGGTGCCACGACGGCCGACACGGGCTGCGCGCTGCCGGCGGAGCTGCACAGGGCAAGACAAATTGGGCCACCGCGCGTCTCCATGATCGCCAAACACGGCCCCCGTCTGGGTAAATACGCGTGATTCTGCCTCATTTTCCAATTTGTATATGGCATCATACCATCCCGCGCGACCTGTCAGGTCCCGTATGCCATGCGCGCGGGCTCGCGCATCTGGAAAATCAGTTGCCAAGAACCCCTTTTGACAAATTCTCCTGGCATCCTGGCGAAGGGCCCAGCAATATGCAGTCGAGAGTCTCGTCGCTGGGGAAATCGCCTTCGGAGGAGCTCCCAAGAGCTTCCTCCTCCTCCTCCTCCTCCTCCTCGCTCCTCCTCCTCCTCCGAATCGGGCGTGGGTGCGCCATGCGGGGTGCACCGCTGGGGCCTTTGGCGGCACTCCCGAAGGGGACCTGAAGCGTGTGAAGGGTGCGCCGGATCGGGTGCGGGTGCGCCATGCGCCATGCGGACCATCCAGCCGGGGCTTTTGTTGGTGGAACTCCGTATGGGGCAACGTCTGAGGCGTGTATACGCCAGGTGGATTATTAGATGCCTCTGGGGCCTTCGGTGGAGTTCCTTCCGGGGCCACGAAAAGTGCAAGGTGTACCGAATCGGGTGCGGGTACGCCATGCGGACTGTGCCGCTCGGCGCGTCGGTGGAGCTCCCCATGGGGCAGCGAAACACGTGAGAGATACGCGGGATCGGGTGGGTGTGAATGATATGCGGACTGTGCCGCTGTGGCCTTTGGTGGAGCTCCAGAAGGGCAGCGAAACTTGTGAGGAATGTGCCGAATTTGTTGCGGATGCGTCATGGGAACTGCGTCGCGGGAGCCCTTGGTGTGGCGAGTCGGGTGCGGGTGCGCCATGCGGACTGACAAACTGGGGCTTTTGGTGGAGCTCCGTAGGGGGCCGCGAAACGTGTGAGGAGTGTCCCGAATTGGTTGCGGGTACGTCATGCGGACTGTGCCGCTGGGGCCTTGGGTGGGCTTCCCTAAGATGGGCACGACACGTGCGAGGGGTGCGCCGAAGCGGGCGCGGGCACGCCGTGCGGACTGCGGCGCGGGAGCCCTTGGTGGAGCTCCTCTGGGTCCACGAAGCGTGCGAGGGGCGTGCCGAGTCGGCTGCGGGTGCGCCATGCGCCCTCGGTGGGCCCCCTTACGGGGGCACGAAACGATGAAGGGGTGCGCCGAAGCGGGGGCGGGTGCGCCGGATCGGGCGCGGGTGCGCTGTGCGGACCGCGCCGCTGGGCAATCCCCGGGGCCCTCGGTGTGCCCCGGGGCACAGTTCGTCCGCCCCCGGGGGCGCAACAAACTGGTACCAGAGTGGGCTCGCGCTCTCGTTGTCCCCCCCCCCGTGGGATATCCAGTGCGCAGGGCCGACCCAGTCCGCAGTCGGAACTGTGTATGCGATGTTTGTGTCGTGCCTCCCCCCTTTCAAGAATTCCCGCCTCAGGACCAGGACGCATCGCGGACGGCATCGTCGCTACGCCCATCCTTCCCTCCTCACACCCCTCGCAGCTTCCATCCATGTGGATGCCTGATCTCCCGCCCGCACTAGTCAACTTTCAAGAAGTTTGCCGTCAATTGGCACTGGAGGGGGCCGAGGACTCCTTTATCGACCCTCGTCCAACGGAGACGTCAACGAAGACGTCCATGAAGGAGGGTCCAAACCTACCTCTATCCTCTTTACGCCGTAACCCATATACCAATCAACCAATTACTCATCTTCTTTCATGCGGCCGTGAATGGGAATCATCCCCTGCCAGCTGATGGTGCCTGTCAATGTCAGTAAGCCATCACATGCTGGCGTCATATGCCAACCGCCGCATCAATACACTAAAGGTCGCCCAGCGTCGTCCGTGCCATGGTGTTCCATCCAGCCTCCATGTCACTCATGTGGCGTGCCTAGCTGTGTCCGTGCCATGGTGTTCCGTCAAGCCTCCATGTCACTCCTGTGGCGCTGCTGTGCCTTCCAAACGTGCTGGGGAACATACCCTGCCCACGCCACGGTCCCGTCAAGTTCCATCTGATGTTTGGGCAGATCATGCCCCCGCCCTCCCATACACCCGGGGGCTCATTGCTCATCCCTGGGCGCTGGCTCCGTCAGGCTCCGCAGCACGGGGATGGGCCACGGTCCCCACCATCTTCTTCTGCAGGTCGGGTCGAAGGCAATGGCGGGCCAACGGATGAGCGGCGGAACCCATGGATGGCGCAGTCTCCTGGCGGATGGCGGTGGTGTGCATGCGGACGGCCGTGCGGAAGTAGAACACTTGACCTCTTCTCCCGCTCCCCCTCTGCCGGTCTTGCCTGGTGGATGCCTGTGCAAGTCGGAGGCTGGGCGGCGGCCGCTTGTGTTGGTGCCCTCTCCTGGCGATCGGCGGTGGTGGGCTCGTGGAAGGATGTGGAAGTAATCCGCCCTGTCGTTTTGTGGCTCCTCTTCGGGTACCCCGTGGCCCCCAGTCTCGAGGTTTCCTCCCGTGGTGTCTTCCGTTGTGTGCTTGGCCCCGTCCTCCCTCGCCTCCCTTTCTTCCCCTCTCCGCGTCCTCCTCCTCCCCCCCTCCCTGGCCGCTGTCCCGGCCGGGTGACCGATGACGTCTACCCTGGTCTCTAGTGCAAAGCCGCGGGCTCCTGGGTTCTGCTTCGGGGGATGCCTCCCCCTCCTCGGGGCTCTCGGCGGGGCGCGGCTGTCCCAGGGGCGCAACAAACTAGTACCAGAGTGTGCGTGCGCACTCGTTATCCCCTCCCCCCGTGGGATATCCAGTGCGCAGGGCCTACCAAGATCGCAATCGAAACTGTGTATGCGGTTTTTGTGTCTTGCCTCCCCCCTTTCAAGAATTCCCGCCTCAAGACCAAGACGCATCGCGAACGGCATCGTCGCTACGCCCATTCCTTTTCTCTTCCCCTTCCCTTCGGCGAGAACCGTCATCAGGCCTCACCCCCCTCGCACCTTCCATCAATGGGGCTACTTGGGTTCCCGCCCCAACCAATCAACCATCAACAATTCTGCCGTCAAGTGGCACTAGAGGGGCCGAGGACTTCTTCATGGACCCTCGGCCAACGCAGACGTCCATCAAGGAGAGTCCAAACGCACCTCCAACTTCTTTACACCGAAACCCAACACACCAATCAACCAATTGCTCATCTTTCTTCTCTCTCCTCCTTCTCGGAACACGCAACTTCGAGGCTGTCTCTGGCGAGATGCGCCCGACCAGTCTGCGAGCAGTATCTCGGAGCCCAGAGATGCGAGGACTCCTCGAGCGAAGCGCACCCGACCAGTCCGCGCGCAGCATCTCGGATCCCAGAGATGCGAGGATTTCTCGGGCGGAACACGCCTGACCAGCACGCGCGCGGCGTCTTTAACCAGGACCTGCGAGGACGTCTCAAGCGAAACGGGCCAGACCACCTCGCGAGAGCTCAGAGGCATCTCGGAACCCAAGACTGCAAGGATGTCTCAAGCGAAACCCCCAATATGGCCATCTCGGAATCGAGCGACGTGATGATGTCTGAGGCGCAACGGCCCATACCACCAAATTCTCGTGCGGATGACTCTGGAAACCCGTCCTCCGACTGGAACTAGCTACGATTCACAGCAACACCCCGTTCAGCAATCAATATGTTCGGGGAATGATTGCCGACAAGTCATTGCATTTCTGCGCGCACGGACTTCCTTACCATCACCCCCATCAGCGTCACTGCATCACCGCCGTCATCAGCCACGTCAGCCAGGCGCAGTCATACACACAAAGGCGCGTAGGACACTGATCCCATGAAAACTGGCGCTTCAAATACGTCCTCGTTTGAGGCCAGCTGGACGGTCCACTCACGCAAACTTGGAATACTGGTTGGGCAGAGGGAAGGGAAGGCGAGGGGGGAGGCGGGGGGACAGGAAGGGAAGGAGGGGGTCCAACTAAACCCTGCAGATCGGCAGTTTGCACAAACGACTTCCATTCGATGTCTGACTTGATCAGACGCTCAAGGGCTGCCGCGTTCCCTTTTAAAGGCAAGGCCATGGGGTACACGCGCTGTACCCATTTCGACTTCGGGCGCCTTTTCTGCTAATGTAAATGTTTGTTGTCGGTCTCAGTGTGCGAGGGCAACAATTTGAAATGCGGAGGAGGCTTCTCTTATGCGCGCGGGGCAACAGCTGCTATCCAGCCAAGGTATGCGTCACCGGCCTTTGTTGCGTGAACTGCAAGAAAATTGCGTTGCTAACTCTAGACGCAAACGCCGGATCAATAGCCCAGGTCTCCCTGCTGCGTCTGCAATGGAAGCAGTTCCGACGCCGACGTTCTGCAACTTCAAGCCACGCGGTCACGAGAACGTGCGTCAACTTGCTGCGAGCAATACTGGTGCATGGTTTGGTTTTGCGCGCACGGCTCAATCCAGAAGGCATTGCCACTTGCCGCCATCTCAGCTATCACCACTCAAACACCGCCATCACAGACACATGGACAGCACCATCGCCATCCACGCCACCAGCCTTGCCGACGTCATCTTCACCGTCGCCTCCACCTTCGCTCGTAGCATCATCGTCGTTGCCGTTGCCAACGCCACCACGCTCCGTCGCCCGCCCGAGCCACCGACCCGTACCGCAGTGCCCGCGCGCCAGCTCGGCCTTCGAGACGCGCTGGGGAAGTTCCCATCGGTGAGCGCCATCGCGGCCGCGTCGGCTGTGCCAAACCAGCTGGCCGCTTCAAGCGCGAGCGTGCGCGCCAGCGTCGGTGCGGAGATGCGCCTACCAGTGTCAAGCAGTCGCCGCAATCGCGGCCGCATGGACTGTGCAAAGCAAGCTGCGGGTGGGAGGGTGGGATGATTGCGCGAGCAGTGGAAATGACGACGTCAAATTCTGCATAGTGGATTGCACAAGTGGATTCCACCACAGATCCACCACTGTGCCTTCTTGCACGTTGAGGCGTGGAAGAAGGTCAAGTGCTGCCTGGCAGGGCCTCTGCAGTCTTCTAGGGGACGCCCCAACCTCGTCGCGACCAGTCGCGCGCACCACCCCCTCTCCCGAGGCCACAATCCATTGCAAAATGCGACGGACTCACGCTCCCGAGGCTCAGATGCCTCCGAGACGGCCAAGTGTCGCTCCAACACGGGCCACGTCGGCCTCAAGACGACCAAGATGTCTTGAAGGCGGCTAGTGAGGCCGTCGAGGCGTCCCGAAAGAGCCCAGGAGGGCCCCCAGATGGCCCCAAGAAGGGCACAAGAGTGGGAACACGAACCAAGAATTCGAGCCCTCTGCCCCAAGAGGCCCCAAGCAGGACCCCCTGCATTCTCGAGTGGTTGCCGCAATTGCTACTCAGAATGCTCCGCTGGCATGGTGGCGAAATTGCCGGAGGCAATTGGGTATCCAGTCGGGGCGTTGACCTAAGGAACCCTAAATAAGGAACGAGGGGTCTTTTTTCCATAAGTTAAACTTCGATTTCCGATGGAAAGCATAAGGAAAACCTCAGGCAAGCTGTGAAACACTCAAAGAACGCGGAGCCCCTCCCCAACCAAAAGGGTTCCTTCTCCAGGGCCCCGACTGTAACGCATCCAGGGTGCAACAACTGCGCTGCTTGGGGTCCACGCTGGCAAAGCCCTGAGCGCATGCAAAAGGTTTGCTCATCCCGCTGCCGGCTTTGGCCCATCCGGCCACCGCGCCTGGGCTGCGGGCCGTCCTGGCGCCTCCTGGGCTGCCTTTCGGGGGCCTCTGGCCCTTCGAGGGGCTCGTGGGGCATCCGGGATCCCTCCGTCGGGCCTCTCAGGGGGCTTCTTGGGTCCTCTCTGAGCGCTTCCGGGCAGCTCCCCGGGTCATGTTGCGGGTCGTGGGGGCGACCTGTTGACGAAGCGCTTCCAGGGTCCCTTCGACGTCAAAACGAATATTCGCGTCTTTTCTCGATCTAGGACACACCTAACAAGTCGCGCGCCGAGCCGAGAGGACTCTGGCCTGCTGGGGTCTGTGCCCACGAGAGAATGCGTGCTCAAGAGACTTACGCCAGTCCGCCGACCCTCAGAACTAGGATACATGCAACTACCTTTCGAGTAGGGGATCGCCAGCAGAATTGATTTACCCCAAAGTTGATCTGTTCGTCGAATCGACGAACACATGCGTATAATGTCCCCTGTGCGAACATAATGCGTTTTTTTTGGGGGTGGGGGGCGTACGCAAATTCGACGAGACAATCAATTCAGGAGTGAATCAATTCGGTAGTCGATCCCCTACTCGAACCTTTGCCGTACATGTTGTTTGCCGCATCCCGTCGTGCTGCCTGCGTGTGTAACTATTGCCGGGTGATCCTCGTTCCTTCCTCCGCGTCCCGGGGGCCCCCTCGGCTGCCTCCGGGGCGGCCTCGCGGGAACCCTCCCAGAAGTCCTGCACACTGCACTCTTGGGACCCGCCGCCGAGCGCGTGGCACCACCCGCACAAAAGTGCCAATTCGCCAACGTCCGAGAGGCCTGTGTCGGCGTCGATGCAGTGTGTCGTAAATCCCCCACGGCAGATCCAGGCCATTTGCGAATAGTGACTGTGCGAGTAGTGGAGCGCGCTTGTCTGCCGGGGACGCTCCACGGGCCGCCGAGGGCTCGCACAAGCCGGCAACAGCCACAACGCGAACATGTTCAACACATTATGAAAACCAATGGCACTTGCCTCGTGAGGCCCTCTTCGGATTCTCTTGTGGCCCTCATGGGGCGTCAAGGGGCCTTTTGGGCCGGCTTGAGGCCATCATGGGTGTTCTTCAGTCCTCTCTATCGGGGGCGCGCGGACATGGATTGGCGATCCATGGATTTGGTGTGCGGTCGCCAAATCCATGGGTCGGGGGAGGTGCCCTCCCCAAAATGCGGCTAGTGCCGAGCGGCGGAACTCCACGATTTCCCATGGAAATGGGACCCGTCGCTGATCCATGACCCCTTGATCCATGTTTGCGATCGCCTGAACCTTGGGCAAAGGGCACTTCTAGCAACACCCGACGTAGGGTTGGGACACATCGACCTCGAATCGGCGATACATCGCCGATAGATCGGCGATACGTCGCCATGGAAACGGGACCCGTCGCTAATCCACGCCCCCTTGATCCGTGTGAGCGATCGCCTTACTCTAGCGCGTGCTGCGCGCAGCGTTGCCCCTGCACGGCCTCTCGCCTGGCCGCCCCTGAGAAGCAAGGGCTCCCAACTTCGCGCTTCGCGCTGCGCGAAGTGAAAATATCTTCGCGCTCCCGCGCCGCCTCCCGGGGGAAAAGCGGAGGACGAGGAGGAATCAGAGCCGAAGCGCGAATGACTTCGCGCCCTCGAGGGCGCCCCTGCCCCAGGAGCCCGACGGACTGCCCGGGAGCGCCCGGGTCACTGCCCGGCGACGCCCGGCAGCCTCGGGCCTCAACCGCCGCCGCCAACGACATCTGCATGTCTTTTGCAGCCACTGGTAGCCTTAGGTCGGGCATGCCCTCCTGCAAGCGGATTTTGGACGAGAAACTGAAAAGAGCAAAACCATACTCAAGAATGGTTTACAAAAAAACACTGAAAACATCGCCCACAGACGATGTCTTAACTATTTTGAAGGCACCCCCTGTAGAGGGACAGGCCCGACCTCATGGTAGTTTCCCCCTGACCCTGCGAGGCGCGCGCGCGCGCGCGCTGAGGCGCGTGCGCCGCGCCGCGCCGCCGAAAATCTCGGGCGCTGCATGCGCGGCCTCGGCGCGCGCATGCCGCCCCGCCGCCGCCCTCCGGGCCGCCTCGGTGTGGACGCGCTCGCTCCGCTGGAGGCTGACGCGGCAGGCGGGAAGCCGAGCGGGCTGGCGCGCCAACTCTCGACTCCTCGGACGCGCGGTCGCCGACGCCGGCATCGGCAACAGAGCTCGCGCAACCGCGCGGTCATCTTCCCGCCGCTGGCCCGCTGCTGGTGGTGCAAACGAGGAATCCAGGCTCTGTGGCCTGCATACGGCGCGCATAGGTGCAGCATGCATGGCAGAGGCAAACGATTGGGCACTTCCTCGTGAGATCACGTCGTCGTAAGCACCCGCGCGAGAAATTGAGGCACAAAGCGCGCTTTCTGACACCATGTCCGATCCTTCGGCCACAATTGGTGGGTTTGCTTCCGAGCTCCAGCTCGGTGCCCAGGCATCCCAGAAGGGGATCCCAAACTGGCCCAGGACGAGTCCAGTTCCCAACGTGCCTCCAGAAGGTCGCGAGAGGCCCCCCCAAACCCTGCGACCCGACGTCGAGAGAACCATCACCGTGAGCAGTCGCAACCAGAGCTCTCGACCAGCCACGAGGGGGCCCTGGCCATCGCTCGGACGTCCATTCCCTGTGCTTTTTTCGGTTTCGTGCGTGTTTTTTTCGCCAAATGATCAAGGATGCTCCTCGATGGTCCTCGCCGAAAGAAAAATGCACACGTCCGAGCGATGCCAAGGGCCTCGCGGTGCCCCCGCGAAGGCCGCCGGAAGAGGCTCCGGGCGGCCTGGCCGCACCGCGGGTGCGTGCACTGGGGCCTCCGCCAGAGACGCCCTCGAGAGAACCCCATGGGCGGGAGCAAGACCATGATACTACAGTCGGGGCGTTGACCTGAGGAGCCCTAAATAAAGAACGAGGCCCCTGTTCCCCATCAGTTCAAGTTCGATTTCCCATCGGAAACCTAAGGAAAACCTGAGGCAAGCTGTGAACCAATCAAGGAACGCGGAGCCCCTCCCCAACCAAAAGGGTTCCTTCTTCAGGGCCCAGACTGCACAGAGCACCCCTACAAGCGAAGCCTTCTGGTTCGCGCGCCGGAGGGAGGACCTGAGCAGGGCAGGCCTGCTGCGCAGGCGCCCAGGACTGCTGGCTGCACGCAAATTCTGGGGGGTCGGAGCGGGTGAGCGGTGCGCGTGAGTCTCGATCTGCCGAGGCGTCGCCGCAAAGAGCCCCGGGAAACAAGAAGCCCGAGGTGGTCCCGCTGGCAGGAGCACGCGAGGCCTTCCGATGCGCGTCCAACATGCTCGGCCACTCGAGCTGGCTGTGGGACTTCTGCGTCTGTCTTCGCTCCTGCACCTCTGGATCGTTACGTGGTGGGGCAACCCAAAGGTACGGATGCTACTCCCCAGACCTCTCACGGAGCGCGTTCTGACCAGAATTTCGATGCGAATCCAGCGTTGGCGACGAGGGCCTCCCGTTGGGGCCAAGAATTGGAAAACGAGGAAAGGGTAGCAATATGGGTACATGTTCCTCCTCTGGCGTACGCGTATCTGGCTCTTTCGAAACTGGCCTGTTGGCAGAGCCCATGGGAGTGAAAGCGGCGCGCTCTGCTGCAGGGCGCGCCAGCAGGGTGGCAGGACACGCCCCTTTCTCGTGCGCCGCTTGCTTCTGCTGGGTGGCACGAGGGACATGGGCCCTGCAGGGAACGAGTCCTGGACCCCATTGATCCGCCCAGAATTGTGATCCCCCATGCGAGGACGGGGACCTCAATGAGGCCACGCCTCCATCGAGGTATTAAGGTTAGGGGGGTTCTTTTGTTCTCGATGACCCATGGCTTGCCCCGGGGCCAATGTTGCGTCGGCGCCGGCCCCCTTGCCCGGGCCGCGAAGCGCGCCCGAGGGCGGGGCGGCGCCGGATGCGCCGCCAGGGGCCCGGCGCGGTGCTGACACAGGGCGTTCGCGTGAGCCACCAGGATTCACAAGTTTACCCTCCCCCAGGATGCATCCCAGAGGGCTGGTGGGATTTCGAGGTTACCCTCCCCCGGGATGCACAAGAGTATCCAACAGACACGAAGAACAGTAGGATACTCTCTCCTCACCGACCTCGATCTTATACCTCGGTCGGCCTGTACCTGTTCCTCCTCCGACCCTTTGTCCCCCCCTCCTGCCACGCTTTTCTTCCCTGGCGGGCCTGCAAGCCGCGCGGTCGCACCGCCACGGGCTCCCCCGCACGCCCCCCGGAAGCCAGGCGCGGTGTTCCCTCGGGGCCCGCCCGAGGATCGGCGGCGAACGATGGGGGGGAAGCGAAAAGGATCGAGTAAGAGGTGGACCACAGAATCCCAATAGCCCTCTGGGCATCGGTGGTTTGAGGCGTTTCCTCTTCCACCCCTCCCTCTTCCCCTTCGGGGAGGGGTTTATCACTGTTCCCTATTAATAAACACCCCCTCCCCCAGGCGACCGGGGGCCAACCCAGGTCCATGACGACACCCCCCCACAATCCCTTTTGCAAAAAACAATACAAAACACACTCTGCCTCCAAATTCGGAACATGCGCGGCCAACCCGATGCGCCCCCCCCCCCCCACCATCCTTGTCAAAAAACAATACCGAGTACACTTGGCGGAGGCGGCGGCGGCGGCGGCTGCGGCGGCGGCTGCGGCGGCGGCGGCGGCGGCGGCGGCTGCGGCGGCTGCGGCGGCGGCGGGCGGCGGCGGTGGCGGCGGCGGCGGCGGCGGTGGCGGTAGCGGCAGCGGCTGCGGCGGCGGCGGCGGCGGCGGGCGGTGGTGGCGGCGGCGGATTGGCCCCCAGTGGCTACCCATCCAAAGACGACTGCTGAATATGCTGAGGCTCGGGCCAGACTCGGGTGCTACGTATGTGTTGGGAGGGCGGGTGGGAGTGAGCGAGACGGCTTGCGGGCTGGGGGGGTCTTGACCCCTCCCCCTACCCCCTCCCCATGGACCTGGACGGGGGGGGCCGCGGGCCTCGGCGAGGAAGCCAAAATCATTGATTTGACCATGGTTTTGGCCCCATGTTGGCCTCCTGGGGGGGGCGTACTTGAGGAACCCCCCTTCGTTGACCGATCCTAACCCACGAGGCCCCCAAGAGGCCTCAAGGAGGCCCCCCAAACGACCCTAAGCGGCCCCAAGAGCCCCCCCCGAGGCACCCAAGACCCCGAAGAGCCCCCCCAGGATCGCCAAGAGACCCCCAAGACGTCCCGAGAGGCCACCAAGAATCGCCCAAGAGATACTCCAAGAGGCTCCGAGAGGCATCCAAGAGACCCCTGGCCCATGTGTTTGCCCTCCTCCTCCTCCTGTTCCTCCTTCCTGCTCCTGCTCCTTCTCTTCCTCCTCCTCCTCCTCCTCCTCCTCCTCCTCCTCCTCCTCCGCCTCCTCCTCATCATATTAATCCTCCGTCTTCCCACTCCCTCATCCATCCATCCATCCACCTTCTCCTTCTCATCCTCACTCCTTTGCACGGTTCGGCCGTTCTCCTCTTTGCTTCCCTGATCACCTCAACTCGCCTGGACATCGTTTCTCGATGGGCTGGTGGGGATACGCGAAGTGTCTAGAAGTGAGTTACTCTAGAAAACGGCTTGCCGTCGAATGTACGATACATACTTCGAATGCTTCGGAACTCTACGGAGCAGTCCACACTATCCCTAAGACTCGGCAGAACAAAAAACTTGAGGGTAAATCAATTATGCAATGGATCCCCTACCCGACAGGGGAGAAGGCCTTCTCAGAATGCCGATCCGACGACATCTGCGCGGACCCCCGAAGGTGCGTGTCTGTTCCCCTGAATGTGGTCGTCGCCATCAGGGCACGTTGGAGGGCAACGTCGGGAGGGCAACGTTCGAGGGCAACGTTGGGAGGTCTGGTCACTCCCCCCCCCTCGCCCGCCGCCGAGAGGGGCCCCAGCTGTGAATTCGCGCCCCATTGCCGCGGCCCGCGGTCAATGGCCGCCTCCGCGGGAGCCACTGCCAGGGGGAGGCTGGCAACCAGGGCCTCCTCCTCGCCGCCCCCCTCCTCCTGCCCCTGCTCTTCATCCTCCTGCTCTGCCTCCTCCTCATGCTCCTGCTCCTCCTCCTCCCCCTCCTCCTCCTCCTCCTCCTCCTCCTCCTCCTCCTGCTCCGCCTCTTGCTCCTCCTCCCCCCCCTCCTCCTCCTCCTCTTCCTCTGCTCCTGCTCCTCCTCCCTCCTCCTCCTCCTCCTCCTCCTCCTCCTCCCCCCTCCTCCTCCCCCCTCCTCCTCCTCATCCGCCTCCTGCCTCCTGCTCCTCCTGCCCCTGTTCCTTCTCCTCCTCATCCTCCTCCTCCTCCTCCTCCTGCGCCGCCGCATATTGCTCCTCCTTCCCCGGCTCCTTCTCCTTCTCCTCCCCCCCCTCCTCCTCCTCCTCCTCCTCCTCCTCCTCCTCCTCCTCCTCCCCCTCCTCCTCCTCCTCCTCCTCTCCTCCTCCTCCTCCTCCTCCTCCTCCTCCTCCTCCTCCCCCTCCCTCCTCCTCCTCCCCCTCCTGCTCCGCCGCCTCTTGCTCCTCCTTCCCCTGCTCCTTCCCCTTCTCCTCCACCTCCTCCTCCTCCAGCTCCTCCTGTTCCTGTTCCCCTCCCCCTCTCCTCATCCTCCTCCTCTTGCCCCTGGTCCTCCTCCGCCTCCTCCTGCTTTTCTCTTCCTGCCTCCTCCTGCTCCTCACCTGCTGCTCCTCCTCCTCCTCCTCCTCCTCCTCCTCCTCCTCCTCCTCCTCCTCCTCCTCCTCTCCTCCTCCTCTCCCCCTCCTCCTCCTCCTCCTCCTCCTCCTCCTCCTCCTCCTCCCTCCTCCTCCTCCTCCTCCTCATGCTCATCTTCCTCCCTGCCTGCTAGTCCTCCTCCTCCTCCTCCTCCTCCTCCTCCTCCTCCCCTCCTCCTCCAGGGGGCCACTGCCAGGGGGGGGCCTGGCAACCAGGGCCTCCTCCTCGCCGCCCCCCTCCTCCTGCCCCTGCCCCTCCTCCTCCTCCCCCCCCTCCTCCGCCTCCTCCTCCTCCTCCTACTCGGCGGTGTCTGCGGTTTCTGCGGGCGGCCAAGGTCGAGCCAGCTCAGCCTAGGCCCAGCGCAATAAACGGGGGGGAGGCCAGGAAAAGAGCCTCGAGTCTCGAACCTCCCTCCCTCCTCGCAGCGCTGCAAAGCTCTCGCCTCCATGAAGCTCTTGCTCACCATCGTGGATATGTCGAGCACGGGCGGCCGCGCGCGCTCTTCCCCCCCCCCCCCCCCCGCCCAGTCACATCCCCGACCCCGCATCCTCGCCCCCCCCCCCCAAACCACTTGT